ATTGTTGTTGGGGTACTTATGAAACTTGCCAATAACAGCAAGCCTGCTTAGGAATCAAGCTAATTTTTAAGACAGAGGGACCGTTTCCTTCCGTGGCGCCATCTATGACCAAGAATACGAATTCAGCAGCATTCACGGCACAGCCGTTTTCCGAGGAAGACCCAATCACACTCCATTCATTTACCCACAGATCGTAATTTTGACCTAAACCGGTGAATGATCTATCTTCAATTCAGTATCTTCAGAAGTATTTATTTGCTATTTAAACTTGGAGGACATGGTGACCCCAACTGATTTAACGTGCACCAGCCACCATTTAATACATGTGGATTTTTCGGCCAACGGGATTCGAACTCATGTTGTCACGAACACGAGTCCAACGTCCTGTCAATTCATTTCCTAATTTATTCAATATATTCCTATTAGAAATACTATATTTTCGTTTTCATATTCTTTCAATATCTATTTTGTTGGCATTTTACTTGAAATAATTCCAAAATAGGCAACAGAGAGATTGAAAAAATTATTAATTATTGGTGGGATCTAAGTATAATTCGTGGTTTCAAAACTCATCACTGGTTGTAAAAAGGACTAACTCGTCCCACCAGTCACGGAACCCTAGTGTTCCGCGAAACACCATTTGATAACCGCTGACCTAGAGGCTTCCGTTTAGAAAAAAATGCGGGAAACCTATTTATTGCCATTTTTAATGAGAATTGGTTGAATTGAAGATTTTCGGGCAGAATAATTCCTCAATTTATGACAGAAAACTTTCACAGTGGTGGTTTTTGAATGAGAGAGTGTTCGTCATGAATGGTAAGTATTTTTCCTTAACTTCAATCCCCAAGAAAATGAGAGGGCGATACTCAGTAGGACTTTGCGTGTCATAAAGGGGTCATTTTTAATCTGAGGCAGGATTGAAGGCTACCTATTCTCTGCCTTCCATATATTGGGAAATGGTTAGTAATATCGCATATTTTAAGTCGTTTATAAATGGAGCGAATACTAAGAGCAGATTTTTTTGGGAATATTTTCTCCAAAAGGAAATTAACGTCCATCAAAATTCTGGCCAATTTTTGATTAGCTAAAGCACTGTGTTTGTCTACCTCCTGAACCATTTATGATAGGACCCTGCGCAACGTGGACAACAGTTAATTAGTGCAGCATTCTTATTTTTAAAAATTGTTTTTTTTTTCTTCCGGAGAAACGAATGATTAAGTTTATTTGGGAGGGGAACATAGAGTTTGGAATTGGATTACCGTTAATTAAAGAATTCTGATTTATCAGTTATACGCGATTCTGTTGCATTTTCAGTTTATAAGAACAGTGATTTACTACCTTACAGCTCTATATAATCAGAAATGAGTTTACTGGGAGTCTACGGCACGCACTTTAATACTTTTTCTGTCTTATTGTAATAAATAAGCTCTCTAGAAAAGTTCCAGTGAATAGCATTTGACGTTACCAAATTAAAAGCTTAGAAACTATTTGAAATCGAGTCTAGAGTTTGTTTAGAGGTATGCTTTTAAAAAATTTTTCTGTAAACCTAAATAATATAAAAACTAAGTCAATTAAAATTAAAAAAAATAATAAACTATTTACTAGGACGCATATCCTTTGGACAAATTGTTTGATTTCGATATATTTTGATTATTATATGACTGTCACTACCAACATCAATATCGCTTCATTTCCGCTGTCGAAGAATACTGGGTATGGTTCATTTTTTATGAATTAAACTTTAAAAATATGATTTTAATAGTGGATTAACGTCTATTCACAAGGAGGGGTAACAAATAAGGATAAAACATAGTGGATTTGTTTTTCAATAGCAAGGTAAAAAGCAAGCATAGAAAGAAAATGAAGAAAAATAAAGATCCAGCTGAAGAACAAGCATAGAAAGCAGGGGAGAAAACGCAGAGAGTGAAGGAAACAGCTGTGGGGACAGATTATGAATCCAAAATGCCCCTGGCATCCTAATAGTGGTCCCTGCATTGAAATTATTTTTGCTTAGTAAATAATTGAAGGTATATGATTTTTAGCTTTGTGCATGATTGCGTAGTGTTGATGATTAATATCGATTTATAAACTATTGATTTTTTTTCTTTTTCCTTTAAAATTATTCTACTATTTTAGGTATATTTTTGGTAGTTTTTCTTCTTACATTTTTAAAGTGTTTTTATCTTTATATATATATTTTTTAATTTTATGAATTTTTCAAGCAGTGTATATTTTTATTAATGAAAAGGAAAAATATATATTTATTGCATATTACCAAGTTTAGTTATATCTATAAATTATTCACTTTAACATTTTTAGCCATTACCAGAAGATATAATTTTGAACTGCATTTTGATAACTACCTCCATCATATCTGGAAAGCTTATCTAATCTCTATCTCGAAGCATTTTTAAATAATACTGTGTTGAAACTGTTTAAACACAAACCATAACTTCAACAACAATACTATTTTTTTATTTGTTCTCATTGCATGGAATATTTTGCTTTCTTTACAGATTACAGATTGATTTATTTATAAATGACAACTGTTAGTTTTAAAAGTATAGTTTGAACCAGCAGTCGTTAGATGAAATCATACAACATATAACTCGAGGAAAAGGATTCACGTTGCTGATATTGTGACCATTGTAAAATAAAATGAATACTCAAATTTCATAAAACTTTATGTTTTCTGGTATATGCTATGAGCATAAATTTCATCAAAATTTTAAAAAAATGTTTCGTTATTCTATTTTTTTTAAATAAAAAAAACTCATAGTGCCTGATGGGTTTAGCTTTCCTAATAATCACCTTACCGTGGGCACCATATAAGTGGATTAATGTCGCCTAAACAACACTAGAAGGGCATGTAGAACAGAGAGATAAATTAAACCCTTGTTAGAACCAGGATTCGATCCCAATATCTCCTTGGTATGAAACCAAATTTTTGATAACCATACAGACTAAGGCCGGGATAGCCTGGTAGGTAGGGCACTGGGCATATGTCCAAGAGTATGTGGGTTCAATCTCCGCCGGCCGAAGACTCCCCGTGTTGTAAATGGTGACTGATACACTTTAAATCTGTCGAGTCGTTAAGTCCTCCATGTTCCCATGACAAATCAATTTCTCTGAGGTTACTGGTCCAGGAGTTTCCTAGTTTTCTGGATTGGTTCAAAATTGCAGGGCTATGGAATTGAATATTAGTATTCATAAACCCAAAAAGTACGTTCAAACGGCTGTTCAACGATGGATAAAATAAAAAGCAAAAAAATTTATAAGAAAAACATACAGGGTGAGCGCGATGGTTCAGGGGATAGAACATTCGCCTTCAAATGAGGTGAATTGGGTTTGATTCCCAGCAATGGTTATTCGATACGAATTCCGCATCCGGCTTGCATCGATTGCTGACGTGAAATATCCTCAGTGGCAGACGTATCATGGGTTAGAGTCCCTTTGACGTCAGGTTAACCGTGGGAGGTTCTCGGGGTTTTTCTCTCCATGAAACGCAAATGCTGGTTAGTTTCATCAAAAAGTCCTCCTCGAAGTCAAGCTTTTTCCCACTACACAAAATTTCTCCTACATTCTAGGGGTTTCCTTGTCTTCTGGATTGTGTTCAAAATTACAAGGTTACGGAGATGGACATTAGTTGTCGTAAACCTAGAATTGGGTCGGCTGCTCAACGACGGTTATAAACTAAAATAAGAACCATACAGTCTGATTTGCCTGCTTCGTCACTTTTTTTTCGATCGTCTCGTCTTCAATTTAATGTCTTTAATTAATCTTCAAATTACTTTGATGAGGTTTCGAGTTAAGGAAACATTTTCATCATACATTTGAGAGATCATGTTCGGATCCCAATCACGTGATATATGATGTTGCATCTTGAAATCATTTGATTAAACTATCTTAATGAATCATTTGATTCATTAAGATAGTTTAATTGCAATTCAGTTATCTGTTAAGATTGTTTAGTTCGGTAGAAGAAATTTAAACGTATAGTTTGCTTTTAAAAACTAAAGATAATCCACTAAGTTACTACTATAATAATATCTTAGACATTATTTTTCGAAATATTACAACATTTATCATTGCGAATTATATGCTTGTTACATTTCATTAAAAAATCATGTATTTGTTACTCTACGTTTTGTTACATTGTTACAAAAAAACAAAAAATAAAACATCGATTAAGTTTTACTATCAAAAGATTTCCAAATACCTCCATCCTTTTGTTCGATTTTTCGTCATAGCATTTTAATAAAAGCTGAACAAACCAGCTTTACGCATTTTGGCCACCTTTTGAGAAACTATTTATAGCAAATTTTTTGATTAATAAAATTATGGAAGAGGCAACAATTTATAAAAAAACATTAAAATAATTGTAATTGAAATGAAACTGGAAGCATCTTTTTAACATACATATTTCAGTAAGTAATAAAACGAACTATTGCTTTTAAATAATTCACATACAATAACTTCCAATTGATAAAAGTAAGGATAAAAGACTGATTTCTATTGCTTCAATCAAAGAATAACCAAAGTAAGGCCACAAAATTGCCTTAAGGGTTGCCCTAAAAAATACACATTGCATTATCTATTAATTGGATAACACTCGGACGGCCGAATATTCGGTATACCCAGAACGGCCATAAGCGGTCAAATTGACCGGTCCTTAAAAACATTGATAAAAATTGAATGTTAAGGTATATTAGGTTAGATATTGTTATTTTCATGTTCTCATATGAATCATAGTCTAAAATATTTAATTTTATTCATTTATTGAAAAAAAAAACATATTGAGTCAGTGGTTAAATGATAAAAAATAATTGTACTAAAGTAAGATTTAATGCATTTTAACTCTTTTTAAACACAATAAGAGGTGTTCGGGCTAATATCTATTTAATATTTATTATGTTACAATCATTATTTAATTGTGATATGTTAATAGTAATTGGGGTAATAATTAGAATACATAATAATTTACTCACAAAAGCGATAGCTCAGTCTTTTTCACAAGAAATACATACACTAATTTTTTTCACTTTTGCGGTACATGGTCCACAGATATATTTCTTGCAGTTTTCACACATATTGACTGTTTTATTACCTTTACAATTCTCTGCTACTTGACATTGTTTCCTTTTTATACCATGCGTTTTGGGATCAGTTGAAATGTCCTTCTTAGGAATTATTTTGCGCATGTCAAGATGTTTTTTTCTTAACTCATCTGATAATTTCAAAATAAAGTCTCTGCGACTTATGTTGATATCGATCAGTTCCTTATATAAAACCCACGCATTTATGGCTGCTAAGTCAAGGATGTTGAAGAATACATGAACTGGCCAACGTCTTGAACAGGATTTCACAGAATATTTTCTTGCCATCTGATCTACCACATCAACACCATATTTCGTAGAGTTGTAATATGTTATGACTTCCGGAGTCTTTTTCTCTGTATTTGATGCATTCAAATTTGGATGGAGGGAGCTCAGAAGAAGGACATTTTTTCTTTTTTTGCACTGATATGAGGTTAATGTTATGCCATTACTGTGCACTATTTTGCTGGAAAAAAGTTCATCCTTTGTTTTCTTGAAGCTTTCGGGAATTTCTTTTTTTGCTCTATTGATTGTACCTACCAAACTAATGCTTTTCTGTTTCAAGTTTTGAGCTAAATTCAGGGAGGTAAAGAAATTGTCCGTTGTAACATTTCTCCCACTATTATAAAATGGCTCCATCAGTCTGTATACTGCATGCTCTCCAACAGTCATTGCTTCAGGACGTGTCTCATCTTTTCCAAGATAAGGAAACGCATTCGAAATATATTTTGATGACACATCTGTAGCTAACCAAAATTTAATACCAAATTTATCTGGTTTATTTGGCATGTATTGAAGAAATTTGCATCTAACTTTAGTTGGAAACAGTTGTTCATCAATGCAGATATTTTCTCCAGGTTTATAACAAGATAGGCAATTTTCAATGAATTGCTCCCAAATTTCGGAAACGAGAGCAAATTTATCAGCCACTAGCCGCTGCGATCTCATTGATTTCAAATCAAATCTTAGGTATCTAAGAATNCAAGATAGGCAATTTTCAATGAATTGCTCCCAAATTTCGGAAACGAGAGCAAATTTATCAGTCACTAGCCGTTGCGATCTCATTGATTTCAAATCAAATCTTAGGTATCTAAGAATTTCCTTGAATCTATTTCTTGGCATAGTTTCAGGAAAATAATTATGTCCCCATTTCTTTGACCACAAAGCATCAATTGAAAGTCCTTCTGCAAGTAAAGCACCTCGAACATAAAGCAAAGAAATAAAGGCATCTAGTTCTTCTAAAGAAACTTTCCAGTTGATATTTTTGCACCTCGCACTTTCTGCATCTGTGCACTTCTGTATATGCTTCAACATCTTTTCATTTATAAGCAGACGCCATGTGCTGCTTGCAGAATTAATGTTGATATTTCTTTTCGCAAACGATGTGGGTCCACTTTTTTCCTTCAAAACATTCTGTGTGGGCAGTCTTCCGGGAATATTTTGCTGAAGATATTTCCAAACAGTTCCATTTTTCGTTATTTCTTCCTCAGAGTTATTATTAGATAATATAGAATCATTCAAATTATCTCTCTTTTTACTTAATCTTGGTTTGAAAGAACTGCATTTATTTTTCCCTTGAACTTTTTTCCGACTTTGAGCAGGCAATAATTCTTCATCTGGTTCAGAATCACTATTAGAACTTGATTGACAATCACTTTTATCGCCACAGTTTTCAACATCAATTGTATACAAAGAGTCTTTTTCATCATCAAAATTACATTCATTCTTCTCATTATCAGAATTATTAGCTTCAGAACCAGAATCATCTGACGAAATAGTTTGCATCATCTGCAAAATTTCTTCTTGAGTAAGCAAATTTTTTCCAACAGTTCTCCGGGACATTTTGAATTACAGAAAGAGAAACGATAAATAATAAACAATATGTAGATAAAAAAAAGAAAGAAAACTTTCCAGTAAATTTGCTCACTTAGTTAGAAATAACATATTACAACCTCCGAGTTCAAATTCAATAGTCTAAATATGATGCACGCCTTCCGAAGGAGACAAACGAACATTCCAAAGATTCGCGCATGCGCAGATTACTTTCGAACAGGTGTGACTGAAGGTCACCCTCTATCTTTCTTTCGACTATTCACACCCCTTCATTTTAGTATAATTAATGATGCTTTAAAAATGACAGTAACAGAAATAACTAAAACCGGTCATTTTGACCGGTATTGGCCATTTTAGGTATATTGTAAATTTACACAAAAACTAATCAAAATAAATGAGTGAAATTTCTTGTGGATGATGTTTATTAATATTTAGGAAAAGTCAGAAAAAATCAAAGAAATCGGTGAAAACCAAAAAAAATTAAACGCGATTCAAATCGTTTTGCGGTCAAAATGACCGGTCCGGCCGTTCTAGTGATAAACGTATCATTATCAAAAAAAAAGTTAATTTGATTAATCGAAAACTGATTAAGAAAATTGTGTTTTGTTTTGGACGTAAGAAACTGCTTTAGTCTTTAAGATAAATTTATTAAGAACAAAGTCTCTAATAAAATAAAGCAATAATTCAAAAAGACATAATTATTGTAAACAAACCCGCATGGCGGAAAAAAAGTACACACAGTCTCGAATTGTTTTAATTAACATTAATAACATTTCCCGCGAGAAATTTTTTTTTGTATCTAATTTTCTCAATCCATCAGGTTACATTAATATGATGTTGATTAAATTATTTTAATTATTTATCCTTTGTTTATAAACTAAGCAAAAAACTTCCTTCTAAATTCCTTCTAAAAAGATGTAAAGAGTAGATTTCGCATTTTTTTATTAATCTAAATTTTTTAATCTGTTTATTAGAAATATGAAGCATCAAGCATATATTTGATTAAAAACAAAAATAATTTAAAACTTTAATAAAGTATATCTACTTCCAAACTTAATTGATTATATAACACAAAAAACCCTTTATTTATAATATATAAGTAGTAAAAATGTATACCTTAAGGAAAAAGCCTTTTTAGATATTTTTTTTTAAAAAAATAACCTGGACACATATATAGTATTGTGTAAATTCGTATAGCAATAATTAATTTACGAACTGTGATGGTTCAGTCGTTAAAGTCTATGGGTGGATCCTAAATTAATCCACCCTGTGGCGTTTTTTTTTTAATCTCGTGAAGCAAGTTTTTGAAATCTCGCTAAATTAGGTTTCCGGAAAATATTTCGGGAAGATTATTTTGAACGTCCTATCACACCACGATCACACCAGCAAAATTCTTAAACCTAATTGGTTATTTGATATGTATACCTACGCGAAAGTTGGATTTCGTTAGAAAAAAAGGTAAAGAGGGTTTATTTTTCGTGATTTATTCGTCTGATCTCTTGCTGCTAAAATCATGTTATTATTTCATTTTTTGAGTAACGGTAAGTTATTTTTTTATCCATTAAAATTGTTTTAATAAATTTGTAATAATTTAAATTGGTTTTTCTTTTTGTAATAATTTAAATTAATTTTTTCTTTTTGTAATAATTTAAATTGTTTTTTCTTATTTTTTTTTTTTTTTTAATAATCAAAAAGGAACGCTGATCCCAGTAATAATCGACAACTTGGCGAGATTTCAAAAAGTCACCAAGTGGGCTATTCTTGGATTTTACCAAGCCTTTAAATTAAAATGTCCTTAACAATGAGAATAAACACATTTATGTTTGAGATTACCATTGACGGTTAAATATAATATTTCTTTAATTTTCAATAACTTATACTAGCCTGAATGTTTTATTTCAGTACGCTTTACTTTTGCACCTAAACTATGAGTTAAGCTAGATTTTAGGATATTTACTTTTTTCAAGTGGTTTCATCTGTTTCTTTATTTTAAATATTTTCTTAAAATCCTGTTTCCAGGACAGCGCAAGTGTTCCCATTCTTGAGTTTTTAGGGAATATACATCCACGCAGACTTTCGCAAGAATACACAAATTTAAAAGCGTAAAGCCATTTATTTACTTCAGATGTATTTTTAAAAAAATTACATTTCATTTCAGGAAAGTTTGGGTATCATGTTAACAAATATTTATCATGAAATTCTCTTTAGTTCGGTAATCGCTTCAAAATACCGCCAACTAAAGAGTACATCAAAGGGTCTAAAAGAAATATCCTGATAAAAGACACACAAAAATTGCCCAAAGGTGAACAGAGTGAATTTTATCGTAAAAGAGAAAATGAGGAGGCTTCAAAGGCAAATTGTTTGTAAAAACGCAAAAAAAAAAGAACATCTTTCGCTACGCCATTTTGAAATATTCCATCGTATATTAGTTTTTCACTCGATTTAGCTCTGTCGTAGGATCAATGATTTGAAGGAGGAAAGTATCAAAGCGAATTTTTAGAATTTTTTTAAAGAAAATGCTTACAGCCATTTTACCAGTATTGAATATAAAATGCTGCTGCGAACATATTTTAAAAATATGCGTTTATAAAAGCATCTTACCTCTTCGTAAAGGTTTCTATTTACTTTATGAATAAATCTCCTTCTGCTAAAAGTGGTTATTTATGTGAACTTAGTTCATATCTTGCATTAATTTCTTATAACGGTGGAAAATTTTATACCAGATATTTTGAATTTAAACCTTTTTTACTCGGTAAAGGAATATAGTAGACCATAACATTCGCTTTCAACAGTTCATTCATATATATATATATATATATACATATATAAATAATGAATTTTAACACTTCATAATTAAATCCCCACA